CGCGGTCCTGAGCGCGGGTCCCCCGAGCTCAGGACCGCGGCCCGGCGCTGCGGGCCGGGGTTTCCCTCGAAAGCGCCGTCCTAGGGGCCGCCCGTGCCCGGTGGTGCGCTGTGCGGGGCCGGACCCGCTCCCAGGAGCGGCGCCTCTGTCGCGATAGACGGGTCTGGCTCTGGGTATGTCGCGAGGCGTCAGCTGCTGGTACATGACATTACTTATATTTTGAGAATTGCTCATACAGTAAGACTCGCTTGTTACTTTTTAAATCACGTCTGTTGTATATAATTACTGTTGTATTTGATATTTTTACGTTTTGCTGCTAGCCTGGGTTAGCCAAGCACGTCTGTCTTGCACGGCACTGCAGACCAGGAAATCGCCGGGGCAGCATTACCCAACTGCTTATATTTCTTTTTCTTTTTTTTTTTTTCCCCTTTGGACTTTGTGAGGTAAGAGGATAAAATCTTCGCTGAAAGACTTTTGTTGGGAGTCTGTATTAAACCTTTATAGAACAGATAAAAAAGCAATTACTTTAATCACGTAAGGGTTTTTACTGTTTGCATTTACAAGGTACGCGGACTCCTCAGTGCTCCCGAAACAGCCCTTCAGCTGGCATACCCTGCCTTACCCTGACTGTAACACGGGTGTGCATTGCAGAATCCCAATTAATGAAACCAGGCCAGGCAAGGACACGTTGGGCTGGAAGGCAAATGGTTGGTTTTGCAAGAGCAAGTGATCACATGAATTCATGTTTTGGGACCACTTTATTAAACAGTGGGTGCCCAATGCTGTACAGGTTACAGGAGGGAGAAAGATGAACTCGAGAAATGTTTCCAAGGAGTTAAAATGTAACATGTTTGGGGGACAGAAAAGAGTAAAAAGGTAGTGAGAGATAAATATGTATTTAATGATTAACAGCAAGACAGTCATGTGTTTGTTAAAAATGTCTGAATGACTGTCAAGAAGGCAGTGCACTTTCTTCTAGGCGCTGTCAGCAGTTTTTAGCTAAGGTTACCTGGTTGTTGTACTTGAAGCCCAGGCAATTGTAATATGTAAGTATCAAACTGTTGCTAGACTTATGAGTAGACATCTTTATATAAACTCTCAGTAGTAATTTTAGATTTAAATTAATTTTCTAATGTTAATATTCCTTTTATAAAATTTTTAAGTGTCAGAAAATGACACTGTTACCTTAGTAATAAGATAATACTGACAAGTCTTCTTTTTCATTTAAACAGAAAAAGGTTCAGGAGCTAAATCAGAACTTGTTTCATAAATAGATTTGGATTATTTCAATTTCAATAATCTTAGCTAAAATAAGATTAATTAGGAAAGAAATATGGAAAAGGGTCTTTCCAGTGGAATTGACATCCAATAGTGCTGCCCTTTTTATTTCATTGTTATGGCAAGGAAGAACAACTGGATTTTGTTAATAAACTAGCCAGACTTCTATATCTTCACCAGAATGTTTTCTCATTGTTCGTGAAAAAATTCAATACTTGAGACATCCTAATGTCATACTGTGAACATGTATTCAAGGACTGTTTTATGTAGGTGAAATTAGCTTCTAATTTATATTCCTTCTCTGCCTTTCCCAGGTTGAATTAATGCTCACCTGCTGTTTCCAGCAGATTTATTTTATATACCTGAAGTTATGGTGAAAACTCCTCTAGCCTGTCTTGAAGTGTTTTTCCCGTGTTCTGAGGGTTGGGCCAGTGTACCTTGGCAAATGTAGTCATTATCATTTGCTGAGTTCAGGGGTGTGATCTTTGAAAGCCACTTTGACAGCTTATGCTTTCCTGGTGTGCAGTAGCTCCCAGTAGACTTACAGATTAAGTTTTTAAAATATTAGAGGAAAATTCCTTTCTTAATGAGATCTGTAGCAGTATCACACCCAGCACATGGACATTCCCAGTCCCTGCACTTACTCCTGTCCTGGACCTCCTGTCCTCTCAGCTGGCTCAGGTCCCAGTCTGCCTTTTGGAGTTTCACCCTCTCATGTACCTCCACTTGCATGTCTTCACGCTCCACCAGACTTCTGTGTTTATTTAGGAAGCCTCTTTGCAAATGAGTTTCTTGTTTCTTAACCATTCATCTGCTGCCACTCTTGATTCCTGGACGTAGCGAATGTCAGTCGTTGTCAGAACAACCTGTTGGGATATAACACAGGGATTGTGGTTTAAAGGAAATAAACAGCTAATCTAGATGGCTTTTATGAAACAAAGATATTGTTTTCCTGTAAATATGTAGAGAGCAAAGAAGAAAGAAAAAGACAAGATCTCTGAATGCCTGCAGTTAGGTATCAGCTGGTTTTTATATCCTTTCCCTTGTTTTGTTTGCTGTTCATCATGCCTCTAGGGTTGATTTGGAGACCTGATCTGAAGGATAAGGATATAGCAAACCTTGACTGGCATCCCTCAGTTGTGTTTACTTAACCCCAGAAGTCATGTTCTATCCCAGTGTACTCACAGTCTTCCTTACAAACTAAAGAAAAATGAAAATGGGATTGGTTTGGCCTGTTGTGTTAGTTGTTGATTTTTTTTAGTTTGTGATTTGTTTATCATTTGTTGTTTTGTGGTTTTTTTCCCTAGAGAATTTTGTCTCAAAGTTTAAGTAGTTTGTGTGACTGTTCCATTCTGAGCTCATTCTGTTCCATCAAGTTCCATTTGCAGTTGAATTCCTACTTTAGGATTCAGAGTACACTCACAAGCTACACAATATATGATTATCAAATGTAAATTTAGCCACTGGAAGCTGTTTCACGTTTGCTTCTTTATATATGTGCAGATGTACGGAGCCCAGCAGCACTTGTTACAGACTCACATTAAACTATGTTTCAAGGACAAGAGCAAATGTTTGAGAAGACTTTTATTATTTTTACTGGTGTGTATGGTTTTGATATTTTGAATTGGTTATATCCTAACGGGTCACTGGGCCCCATCAGCCAATGAACAAATACTTAGGAGAGGATCCCCAGTAGAGATTAAGGAATGACCCTCTTCTAGGAAAGGAGATTCAGTGCCTGTTGCATTATGTCATTTTAATCTTTCTTCTGTCTCAGCCATCTTTATTCCATTTCATTACTAATATTTCTCTGGATTTCTTTGTCATCCTTCTTCATAACATTTTACTTATTTTTTGTAGTTACTAAAAACTGAGAGGTTTGTTTTCAGTAAGTTTTTGTGGAGATACAGATTTTATCTTTTTGACAAGTCTCTAGATTCATTGTGTTAATATATAGAATTTAATTTGGAAAAAAGGAACTTTTTTTCCACATTGGCATTAGGGACTCAGAATTTATTTATTTGCCTCTTGTACACATCCTTTCCTTGTGTTATATGTCAAGATGTTTCTTGTGACCATTCCATAAAGGGATGTGTATTTTTAACAGCATGTTGAACTTTTTAGTTTTAAAGAGGTTTTCTCAGTTTTTCAGGTCCAAGTTGATAAGTTTTCACTTAAACTACTGAGCAAGACAGACCGAAGATTCTGGTTGTAAGGATGTGTGAAAAATCCAAGTGTCTTTGGCGTACAGTTTGTGGGCTGGCAGCATTTCCATCTGCCTTGATCTAACATGGATTTTAATTTTGTACAATGAACTGAGTGTAAATGGAGTCGTGGTGTGAAATGCTAAGAGTCAGCACTGCTGAAAGCAGCGTATGTTGAAGTGCAGCATCTCTGAATACAAATCTGCCCTTCTGGGACACCGTGCAAAATGATGTAATGGAGTGAAAAAGCTCTGCAGAAATAGATTTCACCTGCTGTAACTGAGTCTTTGCTGCAATACTTCACAAGGCTGGAGTGTGGTGCTTTTCTGACTGTGCAGTGGGAATGTATTGTAGGAAAGGAGCTGTTGGCAATAACAGCTGGAGATCCCGAGGCTTTAGTTTGCTGCCCTGCACCTGTGCTGCAGCTCTGCTACAAAGAGGCAACACTAAGGAAAGCCTTTAGTGCTTGGGGGGTAAGTTCACAAAGAAATTACCTTCTGAAAAATTCAGGTTGCCCTTTGAAAATGCTTCATTGTTTGTACACTTGCAAAAAGTTCAGATAATCACCTGTTTGTTTCTCACAGCTTTATCTAAGTATTCCTGTTCCTGCAGCATCAACATGATGTTAGAGTTTCATGAAAAGCACAATGGAATATTTTAAACATTTTTGTTTTAGTTAATGAATTAATTTCTGTAGCTACTGTAACTCTCTTAGTTCTTGGATTAAAAAATTTGTGCTGGTAGAAGTATTTCTAGAAATGTAAATGCCTTGTGCTGGAACTCAAAAGTTTTACTTTTTGGTACTGTGGAATTTACATATCAAGGAATTACACTGTAGAGGTTGTTGCTACTGAAATAAAATAAATGCTATTCTTTGGTAAATATGATTATGTTAATGAGGTGAAAGCATTGAATTAAAATGCAAGCACATTCAGCTAAAATTTTTAATACTTACATTACTACCTTAATACTAGATTAGAAATGTTTGATAGTTTGAAAGTATTAGGAATGTTTGATAGTCATATCAAGACTGCTGTGATAGCAGCAATATACTGCTCAGGAGACAATTCAAGTTCTAAGCCACCTTTACTTGCCATTAATGTCATTAATATTCCAAACTAATGAACACTGAACTTAAAACTCTGCATTGTCAGTCTGTTTAAACTGTGAATTACTTCACTATTAAATTCTGCTTCAGACTGCACTCTCAGTTATAAGTTGTGTTGGATTTTGGAAGGGCATGTGTGACTAGGTGAGCTCATTCTCTTTACAGCAAATGGCATTTATGAGAAAATACAGAGGGGTTGTTTTGGCTGTGGATGCTTATCAGTAACAGTAAAATACAGGTCACACATCAGCCAGGTCATACTATGGGACTGTAAAGTAGCTTAGTTTCTAAAAAAAGATCCCTCTTGGCTACCTTAAACTAAAACCATCAACAACAGGATTCAAGAGCTTCTTAGATAAATCACTGCCAGTTTGGAATGGGGCCAGAATGCAATGTTTATAATGCAAATAAGTTGTTTAGGTTTGTTTGTTTTTTTCCCTTTCTCACAGCTAGGATTCCAAGAAGAAAATTTTCTTGGCCTCATCTGGGTGGTTCTTGAGGATGGCAAGCAAAGGACCCACAACTTCGGCATCGACAAAGAGCTCCAGTACTGGAGGGACCAGTGGCAGCAGTAGCAGCAATGGTTCTGGGGACAACACTAATCAGGACAACACTTTTGAATGCAACATCTGTTTAGACACCGCTAAGGATGCAGTTATCAGCTTGTGTGGGCACCTCTTCTGGTACGTGCTGCAGCCCCACACACCAGCCAGGAGGAAGGACTGGGGGTTTGGTTTAGGAGAAGCTTGGGTTTGCTCCTCAGCTGTTTTAATTTGCTTGTGTTTCAGGGAGTGGGTTTCTTGTGTCTTAAACTCCCTGTACTTCTGGATTATTGTGTAAAAGCAAGCAAGCAGCCTCACACAGACAGTTCAGTGCTAATTGACACTGTTTGCTTATGTGTGTTATTCTGTTTGTGCTGTCTGGTCTAGCACAGATATGTTCTTTAGATCTAAATTCCTTTCTAACCTCTGCATACCTAAACCTGGATATGAATCTAGGTTCTGGAGGCCAAATTGTAGTTTCTCCTACAAGCTTGCTCTTTTTTTCCTTTGAAACCATAAAGAAAGAACAGTCAATAAGCTTTTTACATATGGGCTATTTCTCTTTTCCCATGATACTGCACTTGTGTTAGGAATTTTTCAGTTCTTTAATTTGACCTGGAAATAATGTACAGCACAGATATAATACATGTGCAGAATTTCTGATGTGGGTAACCTGGTTTGAACTGACATGATTGACATGGCCAAATGTGGGGAGGTTGGAGTTTATCTTACACAGTGGGCTAAATTTTTAATAAAAAGAGGCCTGAAAGTGCTTTTTCCTGTGTAAATATACATAACATCTGAAAATCTGGGTTTTTATTTGGGGAGATGGAAAATCACTGGTTTAGGGTGTGTTAAGATAAAATAAGATTGAATTATTGCACAAAAGGATTTGGAAGAGTGGAACCTTAAAAATACCAGGTGTCTTGTCTGAATGATGTTATTGAGAACATTTTGAAAGCAGATGGCTGTTTAGCAGTTCTATCTTGTAGGTTGCTTGTCTTTGACTTTTTTTTAATTTGCCATAGCAATTTACTCTGTGTAATAGAATTTCTCTGCCCTGAGCAACTGAGTCTGACCTCAATAGCTGACTCTGCTCTGAGCATCAGAGTTGGACTAGAGGCTACCTGAGGTATTATCCAGCCTGAGTTATTCCATGATTCTGTGATTGTGGCTGGTGTTTCAGCTCAATCTTCTAAGATCCTAAAGTCTCATTACTGACATCTTGCTCATTTGCATCTTGGCTCTGGGATATCTTTTCATGGTATCAGAAGAGAAAATTTGTACAATAAACCCTAAGATTAATGGAGCCTCTGTCTGGCCCTTTGGAATGGATGAGAACCCAGCAATGGGAGATGCACAGAACCATATTAGGAATTTAGATTGCGTAATGTGAAAAAAACCCAGTGGAGATCAGTCTTGGGCTGTGCTTACAAAAATTATTTTAATGGGAGGCTACAGAACTGGCCCAGCTGGATTCCAGGATTCTGTTGTCACCAAGCTGTGCTATCCCTGTACGCTGCACATTTGTCATATTGAGTTCAGTAACTAATTCTAATTTCTTCTCTTTTTTTGCTCTGTGAACAAATTGTCCTGGGAATGCTCACAGTTGGCCTTGTTTACACCAGGTAAGACAGGTTTCCTTTTACTTTGTTTTTCATCAGCTCCAGTTACTCAATAAAGCCCTTGGTTCTCTGGAGTATCCCCCTCTTTTCAAATGTGCTTTTCTCTCCAGGGCCATCACAACCTGCTCATGCAGCTTCATGTGCAACACCTTGCAATCTGCTCTTTGAGCAACAAGAAAACTTAGATTCTGTTCCACTTGCCTCCACTTTTGAGTTTCTTAAACCCTGTGTAATTCCAGTTTTGGTACAATTACTGTTGGAACTTGCAAGGTTTACTTTGCAGGTTTAAGTGCTGAGTGTTGTTCTCTTTGTGTACATAGTGTTTTGCATTGTGTTCCCAATATAGAAAAGGTGGATGATAGGAAGTCCATCTGCACTAGCCCTTGGCCTACCAGTACTGGTGGTACTCTTTATTTCTTAGTTTGCTCCAGTGCAGATCTGAATATGTACACGTCAGCAAGTGGTTCCCACCAGAACAAGAGCCAAAGTGCCAACTCCACTTTGGGGACTACTTGGCACTTATTAAATGTCTTGCTCTGTGAGAAATTGCTAAAGTCTTTCTGCCTGGCTGCAAGTGAGGTTTGCACAGTTGTTTTTGTGGTATTTTAGTAGTTTTCTTCTAATTTACCTTTCTTTTAGTGGCTAGAGACCAGGCCAAACAGACAAGTGTGTCCTGTATGCAAAGCAGGAATCAGTCGAGATAAAGTTATTCCTCTGTATGGAAGAGGCAGCACTGGGCAACAGGACCCCAGGTAAGAAACCTAAATGCAATTATTTTAATTTGAAAATTAAAGATGAAACTTTAGTTTAGAGTCTTAAGATTAAACTGCTGAAGTGCTGGATTCACAATTTTAAATACTTTGTCAAAAGACATAGATCTGATATTTCTGCCAAATACTTCTGGCTTTTTCAGGGCCTGGGTTTGCACACATTTCTTCTTCAACTGGCAATTCGTTTTAATTTGAATCAAGTGTTAATTGTCAGTTACAGGTGGCAGATTGCAATGATTGTTACCTGACCAGAGAAGCTTCTATTAAATGTTCGTGTCCTCAGTTTTTAGTCTTTGCAATGGGTATTTGTAATTCAAAAGTGCAGTGTTAATTCAGTGATGTGCTGCTGAAGGTCCAAAGCTGCATGATTTGCTCTCTCACACACTGCTCCAACTCTGCTGGATGGCCCCAGCATTTTATGGTGGTTCTGCATTATTAGGCAGGCTACTGCAGATACTGTTGTCACATGTCCTTGCACTTGAGCTAATTTCACAACTTCCTGCAGAGAGAAAACTCCGCCACGACCCCAAGGACAGAGACCTGAACCAGAGAACAGAGGGGTAAGTGATCAAACAAGCTCAAGCAGTTTGGTTGTTTTTATTGATGGTGGTATTTATTCATCCTGGAGAACATAATGTCTGTGAGAGATCTTATATGAAGATCCTGCAGCTTGCACATCCTGCTCTTGCCCAGTTGGTTGTTCATGAATCATTGATAGCTGTGGTGTGGCAGAGAGCTCATTCCTCTGGTACCCTTTAGCATCCCAAGGAGCAGCCCAGCTTGGATCAAGCTTCATGAGCCCACTGTTGTATCACTGGGAAAGCTTTTCATACTTAACTGTTCTCCATGTTTTAATAGAAGAAACACTTTGCTTTGAAAATTCCTTGTGCAAATGTATTTCTCTCAAAACATACGTGTCATTGAAATATGTCATCCATGTATGAATTTAGATTTTTGAGACTGACACCTGCTTCTCTTGTTTCGATGGGATGTTACTGTACATTACAAGCAAGAGAAATCGATATCTATTGGATACATGTTAATATGAAGAGGGATCTGTGGTTTTGTTGAGGAGATTACATAGGGTGAATGTAAACAGCAGTTGGCAGATGGAGTAGATGTGGGAGTAGGCGGTAGGACAGACCACAGTGTTCTTCAGCATGATGGCAGCGAGCATGACCTGATGAAACAATGGCACATTTCCATGTAACTCAGCCTGGAGTCCTTGGAGAGGATTGTCTCCCTCATGCTTCAGGCAAACAACTCTGCAGGGTGTGATTAAGGTACATTTCTGTATTGAATGTATTGGGAGCTCAGCTATTCTCTTTGACTAGGGCATTGCTGCCTTATTAAATCAGCTCCTGTACCTTATTTGGACCTTTCAGCTGGTGCTGCTGTAAATCAGAGGGATGGGATATGAAGGGCAGGACAGTAGTGGTGTTGCTTCCCTGTTCTCTTCAGATCCTGTACCTGCCACAGAGAGCTTTGCTGTCCCTCATAGTTAGTGGCAAAATGCTTGAGAAGAGTATGTTCAAAAAGACCCAACTCCTCAAATCAAGGCTCAACCAAAAAACTTTTGGCTTTTGTTATATGTGTAAAATCATCTTTGTCCTCCCATTGTTGGTGGTGATAAACCAGAGGGTCTTTCAGAACTGGTTTAATCCTGAGGTGAGAGGACAGATCATTGGATTACAACTGGGGGCTCTCCACAATTGTTAGGCATAACACAAGCCTGTAGATTCCCCATACGGGCGGTTCTCAAACAGCACACTGCTTCTGCAGAGCAGGATTCATCTCATTTCAGAACACTTATCTTTTGACTTGATGTGGTATTTTAGTCTGGATCCCATGGGGTCAGTGTTATTGCATTGTAACTTCCTTTTTTCCTCCTTTCCTTAGGTCTTGCATTTCTGCCCCAGGTGATTTTCCCACCTTAATTTGAATCCCCCGGTTAACTTTTTTAATACTTTTCCTTCAAATGCACTCCATCCCACTGGCAATTTATCATTTCACTGAGTGTTGAAATGATGCACATGCATCACTAAACTAAATTTCTATTATTTTCTGAAGTACCTTTCTTATGTGGCTAACAGCTGTTAACAGAGATAAATTGTTAAGACATTCTAAACAGAAATCCTTCTGATTATTTTGATACATTGGCAGATACCTACTACATTGAGAAAGGTTACAGTTGAGAAACACTGTCCTAATTTGTGACCCTCAAGCAAGAGCTGCAGTTGCTAGTTTTCATTTTCTCAAACCTTTGGGTTGCTTAGCAAATTTACTGCTGTCTGAAACATTTTAAACCCAGGAGAGCTAAGGGGATATGTACAAAAGTGTGTCAGACTGAAAGTGGCCCTCCTTCAGTCTTTGGAAAGCCAGTGAGGCGAATGTCTGCACTTCCACAAAGTACTCTGAAATAGGCTTTAAGTGATTGTTACCTTTTTTGCCTCCTGTTCTTTGTTCTTTGCAGGGATTCCAGGGCTTTGGGTTTGGCGATGGTGGCTTCCAGATGTCATTTGGAATTGGGGCGTTTCCCTTTGGTATATTTGCAACAGCCTTCAACATAAACGACGGGCGACCTCCTCCAGGTACCACGGATCCTTCTCCTGTCCTGTCACAAACAGACATTTTACAAACTTTTAAATAACCTGCTAATGACAAAATATTCTGAACAGTAACCAGTGTTGCCAGTGGAAACACGAAATGAGGGCAAAAACACTCAGTAGAGAACGCGGTCTGTAGCTGATATGTTTTGTACACAGACTTATAAAAGAAGAAAGTTTGTCACTTCCATATAATTTGCTGAAGTGCCTCCTGGGAGACCAGTGACTGCAGACAAACAGTGGCACTGGAGACAACTCTCCTTTAATTCAGATGTCTCCTCTGGTACACTAGCAGACTCCTCCTGCAAAAAGACAAATTGTACTAGACTTTCTAATAATAATAAAAAGGAGACATTAGGGCTGTGAAGGAGACACAGATTTTAAAAACAGTAGGAAAGGACCATTTCCTGAAAGATAAGAAGGAAAAATTTAAGCTGGTGCTTGGTACCACAAAATAATGAATGCAGAGACTGTTCATTTTTCAGAAATTTATCTCTGAGACAGTCATCTGTATTCTATGAGAAGTAACTTCCCAGTGAAATTACTTCATGTTTTTGATTAACAAAAAACAATTGGGTTACTCCAAGGGGTGATCTTGCTCTCCAACAATTAAGTAATCCCTAGAGAACTTCCTCCCCATCTTCATTGTAGACAAACTGAATCTGTTTTGAACAAGGACACCTACTGCCCAGGGTTTTCTGAACTTATTTTGTAAAAGGTTATGCCTGGCAAATCTTCCACTATGTCATACAGTACAGGAATTATGAGGAGCAAACTCATTTTTCACGTCACAGCAGTGTTACCATGGTCCTGTGCTGTTCTTGAGTCGAATTATCTTCCCTATTAACTACAGTTCATTGTCCATTGAAAAATCTGTTTGGGGTGGGACTGAACTAAGGAGTCCTGCTTCAGGGGTCTGATACTTGTCTTCCTTCTGATCTTCCCATGCAGTCAGCCAGGCTGAGGGTCGGAAATAGCAACTTTCTCACCAAGCAGATGCATATTTTTCAATGTATGAATATCCTATATTCAGAATATACACAATCCCAGAGAAGAGGAAGGAGCTGAACTGTTGTTTTCTTTACTTCCTGTTTTCCAGCTGTTCCAGGGACTCCTCAATATGTGGATGAGCAGTTCCTTTCCCGCCTCTTCCTGTTTGTGGCACTGGTGATAATGTTCTGGCTGTTGATTGCATAAGTCTTTTCCATTATTCTATATACTCATGACCAACAAGGCCATTGAAACAGTTAGAAACTGCATCCCCATCCCATTTTAAACCTCTTGGTGTCTGGTTCCATAGCTAACTATGGGCTTCAGGAGTTGGTGGTACCACAGCACAATGAGGAATCTCACATTTTGCACCAGAGTTGGGAATTAAAACATTGGTTTAAAAGTGTATTTCATCTCAGATATCTTGTACAGGTTCCTGCCACAAACCATGGGCCTAGCGTTGAGCTGCACTCCGAGAGGGAGTGCTGCTTTGAAATCCTGTGCCAATCAGTGACACCAGGTCTGTGGGATAGACAGTTATCCCAAGGTAGACTGGGCAGGTAAGGAAACCTCCAGTGTGACCAGTATCTCCTGCTTTGCAACCACGATGGATCTGCCAGAGCTGCAGATGTTATTTAATGTCTCCATCAACATCCGACCTTCTCCAGGAAATCATCTGCAGCACTGCTGAGACTCTCTGGGGCACAGCATGTGATGCAAACGGAACCAGGTCTGGAGACTGGTTTCTTTTCCGTCTGTTATTTCCTGATGTGGTGGAAAACCCTTCCTGATGGTTCTGATGGCTGTTAGAAGAAGGGATACAAATTTATGCTGCAATTTTCTAAAGCCTGAGCATGCTGGAGCCAGACACTGGAAGATTCTCTGGCCGTGGAGCCAGGTGGGGCTGCCGGACCCAGCCCAGTTCCTCACTGACAAACAGTGTTGTCTTCCCCAGCTCTGTGCAGCACCTGTGGCTGCACTCATGGATAATCCCCTCACAATCTTGTCACTGTAGCGACATTTATCTTTCCCAAGGCTTTGAGACTTTCTACACAAGGTCATGTACTCCAGATAAAATCCTATTACAGATCTGAGATCAGCTTGTTTGGGGAGAGGAAGAAAAAGCATCTTTACATGAGTTTTGAGGTAAAACTTGTCATACTGTAAAATTACACAGGAGGAGACGTGAGACCCTGCCTTTGCCAGCACATGTTCAGTAGGGAACATTTGGAAGACCTTCTCTCTGCAGGTGCACACAGACCTTCTCCCGTGCCACAGCAGAACCACTACAGCGCGAGAGTCTCTGCAGTGTCTACCAAAGATTTTAATTTGAAGTGCTGAAGGAGACCACAACCATTAATGTGCTGAGGGGATATTTCAGAAGGTGAGCACTCTGCAGCCACTTTGGAATCTTGTTGGGTATTCAGCTTTAAAGAGTACTCCTGATGTATTGGTGTAGATTCCTTCGAAACAGGTACAAGAGATTCTCTAGCAAGATGAACAGTTCATATTTCTCTGACTAGGCAATTCCATTTTTTTTTCTCTTACTGTTTTTAGATTTTTTTGATTCAGGTCATTCATAGTCATAATGATTTCCTGCAAGATGAATGTTGTGACTTCCCTGGCAGTAGACAGAAAACTGATAAATCAATTAATAGAAACTTTTTTTTCAATAGCTTGGGATTTTTTAGCATATGGAAGAGTTTCCTGGGCAGGACACCTTTAATTAATTGTTATAGAAGTTTATTTATGTAATTATAAACTGTTCCCTTTTAGTGTCAAGGCAAAGGATGACTGAAGTTTAACTTGCCTACCTCCAAAATCCTATCTGGCAAGTAGAATGTTGCAAAGCTTCTGCAGTGTTTGTCATGTCAGATTTGTGCCTGAGTCAATGATAATCTGACAGAATATGTTGCTCAACTATTTATAGTTGAGGTGGTGCTTCAGCTTTTGTTGTGTGACACTTCTGAGAATCTGAACTTCAGTATAGGGTTCTTCTCAAGTGCATAATTTGGTAACTGGGGCCCTTCCCAGGAGAAAGTTTGATGTTGTTCGGTTGTCCTGCAATGTCGCAGCTTTGGGTTCCTCTCCTGCGCAGTCAGCACCACCTGCTGATGAGAAGGGAACGTTCATGTGACAGGGACGGATTCCTTCTTCTTTTGTACAGAAAAACTCCATACTGAGAGGTTATGCAGGGAGGAGAAGGGTAGCCCGTTGAAGCCTTTATCCCATAAAGAGGATAGAGAAGTGACTGCAATTGATTCAAGTGGTACTGAAATATATTTAAGTAATACATTTACAAACCAGAATTTTAATGGATTGGGGGGTTTTTCCATCTAGGAGTGAGAGAGATAATGGATTTAGAGAAGGCTGCAGAAACATGGCTGAGAGCTCTTATTTTCCGGCAATTCAAGGATCAAATAGTCTAAAAGTGTTAACGCTTGGTTCCCCCTTTCCCTGGTGTGCTTTTGTATGTACCCCTGCCCCGTAACCCGACCGCACACGGCCCGGACGGCTCGGTTAGTGCGTTACCGTTCCTCCTCACTAATTTTCACTGTTGTGAAAGTGATTTAGAATTAAAAAATGGTTTTACATTGAGCGGAGTCCGCCGCCGTTCCTTTGCGCTGCCTCGGGGCCGGGAGCGGGACCGGCGGGGCCCGCCCG